TTTAACTGTCATCCTAAAGCTAATAATCATGTTTCCCTTTCAATTTGTAGCTACAAATCAAATAAATAGAAATCTGATGGTTGCTCCCATTGCTATTGAATGCAAATTATATTCATATCTCTATTCATTTGTTCGGTAATTCACAAACCCTTAACACCGACACCGACGTTAATGTACTTTTGAAAATAGGAACCAAATCTCTGCCACCGACACCGGCATTATTGGCCATCAGCACAGTTAAAATAGGAGGTGAATCTCAAGCTAGACTCTTTGAACTTGAAGCATAGGTTGAAAACACCCCTTTTTTCCGCCGGTGGATCTGGTGCAATGGGTAACTGAGTATTGAATCTTTTGTCAATTACCTTTGCCGCCTTTGGCAGATCTTGAAAAGTTTTCCCCATGTCCGGCTGAGTTGTTGTACCGATAGAATAAGCCATTGAGATCTTTTTGTCTGAGAAAGAAGCACGAGTTTATACGTTTCTGTGTTTGACAAACTAATAGATAAGTTTCAATTTTTTATTCTGTTAAGTGCCTTATGATTAAGTGACCAATAATGCATAAAAAAGATTATTGTTTTCGACTTTTATTGGTAGGGATGGAATTGGGTGACATGTTGAAATTTATTTGGATGGATTGGATATACTAGGAGCAAATGCTGAAGGAATTCTGAAACGGCGCTAACATATGATGAGATCTAGAGCAAGACTTGTGAGGAAGTGAAAGAAACATGAACTGCCAACCAGTGCGTGACCATTGAAGGAAGGTCGGAACCTTCTTCTCCTTCAAGCTGGAAACTATGTGGGTGATTATGCTCTATTGGTAAAAATTGGTGAAATCCCTCTCAGCATAGACGGACGGACATACGCCATTTAATTGAGATGTGAGTGGGTGGCCACTTAAAAGTTATCCAAATAAGTGAATTATGTGTTAATTTGGTCCACTTAAAAGTTAAGTGTCCACTTCGAGATTCGTAAATAACCTTGGTGTCCTTTCTGAGCATTATCCCAATACTAAAAGCATGTTTGGTAACATTAAAATTGGCTGAATTGGTTAATTCTGCTCAAATTTATGAAGTTTTGACTAAAGTGACTGTATTGGCTGATTCTTCTGGTTCATGAAAAAATTATATTAAAAATATTTGTTATTAATAAATTAAATAAAAAAATTTATGAAAAAATAGTTAAAATGATCCTTTATAGTAACTTCAGCCAATACAGTTAGAAAAGCAACTTCAACCTTACTTTTTATGCTTATTACAAAATTTAGCGCGTGAAATCAAAAGTTCTATTACATCCCATGCTTTTTTTCCAGGCTGTTGTTCCCACCTCACGAACCCGCTACCTTCATTATCATCCTATCCCTTCTTAGCCGCTGAGCAACTCCGTGATGATAGGAAGAATCATTGGGAGTAAGACCTCCTTCATATCCCCTAAATGTGCCTAGCGGGTTTCGAAACCGAGACCTTAGTTAGACACGGTAACCTTGGCGGAGCTGGTGTTGTTCAAGGGTGTTCATGTGAACACCCAAAAATTCCAATTATTATTATCAAAACGTCGAGGTTTTGTTATATTGTAAAGCTCATATGTGTTTCAGAAGCTCCAAACTCCGGAACTGGTCCGCCCCTCCATTGTGTATCTAAGTGCGGCTAAATGGTTTATTCAGAATCAAGAATTAGAGAATATTGGGATTTCGGATATATGCTTTTTTAGTGTCTTAGTGGATTCTACACAAATTGAAAACTAACATCTCGCAATTTTGGTTCTCTCGATGAATAAAGAATTAAAGGAGCTACATACACAGTTGTAGTGATTGTATCATACAACCATACAATTTGTATGGTTGTTGTTTAAGTCATTGCTCTGGCTTCCATAAAAACAATGTTACTGCTCTCGCAGTGTGTTTTTGTTTTAATTTATGGGTGTTATTTTGCTTAATTTATTGTTTGGTGTGGCAGAAATTTTTTCTTAATTTTTTTGGTGAGTTAGAATTTTTTTCTTCTTCACTTATTTGTGTTAATAACAAGGATTAAAAAAACTCTTCTACAAATCAAATTATTAATTAATACTATGTATGAGTATTCCATTTTAATTGAGCATTGAACACTCAAAACATCAATGCTAACTCCGGCACTGCCCAGCAGGCTAGAGTGCTCGGTTGTATAGTTTCTTATTCCTATTAAATGTATGGTTTATATTTCCTATTCCTAAAGGCCTTAAATCTTTTACTATCTCCGTCCCTCTTATATTAAGACGGAAGAGAGTGACACGATTATTAAGTAAAGTGAGTTTGTGTTGTTGATATTAATTGATAAAGTAATAATGATTTACAGTCACAAAAACTTTACCAAGCATGATATGAGACAGTTTTATTGAGATTTCCCGCAAAGAGATGGAGGAAGTATTTCTTTATACAATAAATATAATGGCTCATAGAAATAGTTATGATATCGGGTCCCCATCTGAAATATATATAAGCTCATCGAATTCCCTTACCGGAAGAACTCAAGAACATGTTTTGTGGGGCGGAGGGTACTTTTGAGCTAATCCATATTTTTTAGATTAGAATGAGCCTAAAAGTTGGACTTATTTACTAAAAACCAAGAAGCCTAAAATCATCCCCTTCGACATTAATTAGTAATATGCTTAAATTTAGGCTATTTTTGGATTGAGATACTTTTTTGACTTTTTAATAATTATTAGCTTTTTTGAGCTGAAAAGCTTTCAGATAAAAAAGACCTTAGCTGTTTCATGAAAGTTATTTGTTTTAAATAGTCATGTTTGGCAAAACTAGCCGTTGTAAGTAACTGAAATTATAATATTACAATTAAGGGTATGATAAAATATTAATTAAAGAGAAAATAGATTACATGCACATGGCTAATTTCAATTTAAAGGTAAATAAGAAAGAGAACGAGGACTCAAAGATGGGCGTAGTCGCATAGAGCAATTCATAGACCAACCTCTAACAGAACAAAAAATCGGAAAACCCCATTAAAATATCATCAAATAAAGCAAAGGAAAAACACACTCATTCAAAACAAATCAACACACTGTCATGGCAATTAAAAACAGAAAAAAATCCCAATGAAACAATCAAAGAAGACAAATAAACAATCGTTTTTTATATTTATTTCAATCATTTAATGATAGAATCAAGAAGTTTATTTGAATCCCTAAAAACAGAGTATACAAATATCTAAATCTAAAATATTATGAACACCAATGAGGGTTAGGTTATTTTTGGTATATTAAATGTGTTGGTGTAACATAAAGCAAGATGTTGTTGTACATTATGCTCCCATGATTATACCACATATTGCTACTCTGTTATTTCCGTTACATCCATGCACTTAGCCGTCGTTAGCTACCTTCCGAGTTCCTAATAGTGTAATTAATACCATTAATTAGGTTTCCATATTTATTAGGTTTCCTAATGTATTCAGGACATATTTTATTATATATATGACACTTAGGGCTACCATATTGGTAAGCCTTTCCATTATTCTCACACCGACTTCACATTGTTCCTTCCGTATTTGATTTATTTTTCAGTTAATAGTTTCATTCACATTTGAATATTAAATTCATTTTTTGTGGCACTCATCTAAATTGAAATGGACAAACGGCTTTAGCATAAATGTGACTTGTGAGTTGTAGGAACCTTATTGAAGACCATTTTTCTCACTCACTTTCTTTGGTGTAAGAAGGTATGTATGGATGTTTTTACTAATTTGCTGGTCTGGTTTGGTCTGATCTGGTCTGGTCTGAACTGGTCTGGTTTGGTTTCTTTGTATTTTTATAATTATCTAAGTCTGGTCTGGTCTGAACTCGTCTGGTCTGGTTTCTTTATATTTTTATAACTATCTAAGTTTGGTCTGGTCTGGTCTGTTCAGGTCTGGTTTGGTCTGATCTGGGACATATTATAGTCCAAGTAAAAACATCCTAAAACGTTAAATAGAAACAATTTCTTTTATTACTATTATTATTATTGATGTTGTTGTTGTTGTTATTATTATTATTGTTGTTGTTGTTATTATTATTATTATTATTAGGAATAAATGTGAAATTGACACTATGGTTATATGTGAATCTCATATTGAACACTAAGATTTCAAATGTACCAAATTGGACATTATGGTTATATTTGTGTTTCATATTGAAAACTAAAGTTTCAAATAGATCAAATTTAACATTTTTCTGATCATGTGGAAAAATATGGCGCATTCTGCGCACATATAATGTGCAGTGTGTTTCTTGGATTTATTTGACTGCCTTCCCGATCGAATTTTGAGCTGAAATTTGGTATGGACAAACTAGACCTCATGAGGAATATGCTCAAAAAAGTTCATCAAAAATTCCACCGGGAAGACCCTCTGATGGGCTTGTCCGCACGGGACTTCTCATCAGGAGCTCCTGATGTGAACTGCCCTCTATATATATGTATGTATGTATGTATATATATATATATATATATATATATATATATATATATATATATATATATATATATGCACTTCTACATACTCCCTACGTCCCATTGGACTTTGCCAACTTTTCATTTTTGGTTGTCTCAAAAAACTTTGTCACTTTCCTATTAAAGCAACTAATTTGTGGTTCTTCACATTTCTCTCTCCTCTGCACAAATCTCAACCACATAATTTTTACTTTTCTTATTTCCCACCAACTTTACACTTGTCAAAGTCCACCGGGACGGAGGTTGTATATTTTAGGGTTATATTTATTCCAAAAAATAGAATAAGAATATACTCCGTATTTGTTTTGACTTCCTTATTACGGAGTATAAAAATATGAATGTACCTTTTTCCTAATTATGACTGAGTACGGGCTACGGAGTACGAAGTATAAAATAGAGACCAAATATTTACGGCAACTTATCTAAATTTGGAAATTTTTAGTTACTCAAATTAAAAAACATCCTAGGCAAAGGTAGAGTGGTAGACGGCCGCATTTCCTAATTAACCCATCATTCTGGATTGTTAAGAGAACCAAAGAGGCAGTTTTCAACCTCAGAGTCGGAGTAGGTTATACCGTTATACAAACGAAATGCCGCCATCCCTGGAATCCTTGCCGGATGAACTCAAAATTGAGATCCTAACGAGATTACCTGCAAAATCTCTGATTTGTTTAAGTGCCGTTAGTAAACCATGGCTCTCTTTCCTCTCCACTTCTGAATTCGTCTCCGCACACCTGTCTAACCGAGCTGCCGAACAGTCATTCTTTACAACAACTACAGATGCTGAGAGCGGTCGTTTTGCTCTAATCAAAGATGGAGACAAAGTCGGCGGTGGTCTCACGGTACAATTCGGAGCAATTATCAGACCTGATATGCAATTCCAAAACAGGGTATCCTTTTCCTTGTATCCTTTGGAGGTGACGGGGATTGAAATCGTGGGTAGCTTCGACGGGTTGCTTTGCTTAACCTTTATCCATGCAGATTCTCACCCGTCAATTATATTATGGAACCCTTCTATTCGAACACATGTGGTGTTACCGCCTCCCATCATTCACACTCAAAGAAAAGAGTGTGATGGAATTGGGGTTTGTGTTGCCAGTAACGGTGATTACAGGGTTGTGTGGGTCCATGAAAAGCATGATGATAATGCTATGTCTGTTGAAATATACTCCCTCCGTTCCGGTGATTGGCGGATTAGACGATTCGATCATGATTTGTTTCCTACGAGGTGGTTGCTCAGAGGTTCGGCTTTTGTAGCAGGTAAGATGCATTGGGTTGGATGTGAGTATGATGAAAGTTGGATTGGATCTGAGTATGAGGATGAAGTATGTGATATTCGTGATATTTGCTCAATCACTTCATTTCACATAGAAGAAGAGGTATTTAGAGACGTACCACTGCCAGATAGATTAAAAGGTTTTGAATGGCAACTAAGATCATGTGTGGCTGTGGTTGGGGAGTCACTGGGTATGATAGAGAGGTGTGGAATAGGCAATTGGGACATTTGGGTGATGCAAGACTATGGAAACGTTGAATCCTGGACTAGGCTGTATAACATTGACATTCGAGATTATGATAAAAGGCTACCCTTAATAGATGCATTAAGCACATGGAAGAATCCAGGAGTTTCTTCTGGAGCACACCAGTGGTTATCATACATGGATCATGAGGTGTTTACGGTGTACGGGGAATACGGTAATGATACATTTGAGTATGTAGCTAAGTATGTGGAAAGTCTTGTTTTGCTTGGACACAAAGATGCTGTTGCGGATGTGCATTTGCTTCAGTCTATTGCAGGTGCAAATTTAAATTATGTTATTTAGGTTTTCGTATGTGCTCAAATCCAAGATATGTCAAGCCAACATAATAATAGATATGCAATTTGACTTTAGAAGTTCTCATTGCATTATTTTTGTCATAGTTAGCTCTATTGATTTGATAATTTTTTCTTGATCTGTTTTCATGTGTTGCTACTCATCCTTCGGATTCAGGGTGCATAGAGGAGGACAATGCAGGTTTTGGACAAGAAATCTAGGCAAGGTCTCACTAACACTTAGCTTGTTTTCATTTAAACTCTAATCATTTGATTGAAGAATGATGTTTTTACTGTAATATCTAGTCCATTCATACTACCATGATACTCCCTTAGTCCCAATGTAACTGATGTTTTGGAAAAGTAGACATGATAGTATTACGAAATGACGTTTTATCACTACAAAAGTTTAACATCAAACGCTTCTTACATTTTTCAAGGTCATATATCATTTAATTAGGATAACTTAATAAATAAAAATATGTGAGAGTAATAGAAAATATGTATTGAATTCATGGTAACCAAAGTTAGTTGCAAGGCACACTCAAGTCAAGCGCTGCTAAGAAATATTTACACTGTTTTAGAATTATCAAATATGGTATATTCAATACTACGCATCATATTGAACTAAATGCATTAATAAATTCACTAATCATTAAAACTAATACCTAAGTTCAGCAATATTCTAGCTCAAGTCATCAAGTCATAACTCTCATGAATCATTCATCATAAAATGTGGAGAGCATATTTCCTGGTAACGATTGAAGTTTCACCCTCCATATACTATAATACTATAAACTATAAATAAATAAAACTTGAGAACAAGGAATGCATGTTGTTAAAATATAAAACATGTTAGAAAAAAGAAAACAAATAAAAAGAAAAGAACTTGTTAGAGGAAGATATAAAAACATAAGAAGAAGTGACAGAAAATAAGAAATAAAGATTTCAAATTTCAAATGAGAAGATAGAAATGAAGCAAGAAGAAATAGATCATACCATAAGGAAAGAAAGATACAGAGAATAAGAAAGAACGTAGAATTGAATAGAACAAGAAGATGAAAATAGAAAGAAGAAACATAATGAGAAAGAGGAAGTTATCATTTACGTGGGGTGTGAGTCGAACGCAGTAGAGAACTTCTTATTACCATATTTTTTATATACTCTTTAATACATCGATTGATAAGGGTTTATGTTGTTATGCTCTATCATTTGGATGGGCTAAATCTTATTATGAATATGGGTTTATTTAAAATAGGCCCTAATCTTATATGCAAAAAGCAAAAAATGTTGAGAAGCTTCACCCCTAGCCCCTAGGTGCGCTTCTGCGCCTCTGCGCTTCATGTGCTTTATTTGCGCCCGGATAATATTAAGGTGCTACCCATGTTCAGCGCCTCCCTTGATCTGCTTCAGCGCTCAGGTGAGCGCTTTTGACTACACTAATTGAATTCTTAAAAGGAACACTGATTTGGGGCAAACAATTTTGGCTAAAAGTAACAAATAATTTAGGTTGGTGAAGTTAGAGTTTACATCACACTTTTTCTTCAAAATTGCACCCCTTCTAGGCGCTAGTTTGAATTTCTCGGTGTAAATTTAATGGTTTTGGAAATGGGTGCACTCAAATCTTGATGGAATATTGGGGTGCAAAGTCCAATTCTAATCTTTTAGTGCTATTTTGGGACAGTGCTAGTTTTAACCAAGGTGGTTAAATTCTGGATTTAAATTGTAAAATCATACGATGTGTGATTTTACGATTCTACACTTGCAGATCGATTTTAATCACAGAAAATCGTAAACTTGTAAAGTCGTTCAAAAGTGCAGTAGTGTCTTTCATAATTACATAGAGCCTTATAAAATCATAGCAAATTCGTAGTGATAATTTTTAGTGAAAATGGTTCGAAATAATTAATATTCAGCGTGAGATTCTGATATATTAATCTAATAGTAATAAGAATTATAAGATCAATAATATATTTAAAGAAAGTAACATATAATTGAATTATTAAATGATATTTGTGTACGTGTTTAATGTTTATTATTCGCTTCACTTAAATGACGTAGTATAAAAGTAGTTTATAAAAATTGTTTTTGAAATCATATGTATAATTTAAAGTTTAAACTTTAAAGTCATGAGATGACTTAGTATTATTAACTTGTAGGTTTGTTAATATTTATTTATTTTATAATTATCAATATATGTTTTTAAAATCTTACGATTTACGATTCAATTTTATAGAACCTTTTCCGATTCGATTCAAATATACAATTTTAATGATCTCGGTTACTGTCAGAAAAGCTGTGGATGTATTATCTTCCTTTTTTCGAATTAATGTCTTTGAAGTGAATGATTACCTTTTGCCATATATCCGAGTATTCGACAACACAAACTTGTTGAGTCGCATTGCATTTAGTTCATATAATCATATGTATTGTCAGGGGCGGAGCTAGGGGTGCCCAGGCTAGGCCCTGGCCCACCCCAAATTTGAAAAATGTCAATATTTTTAGTGTAAAAAATTTCGTGTAAATTTTTTTCCAATAATATTCTTTGTACCGGCCCAGTCTAGCCCAGTGTCCTGGCTACGCCCCTGTGTATTGTTTGCTTAGCTTTGATGAAGCTTTATCCTGTGTACAGGGTGAGTTTATTCTTCTGGGGATTATGTAATACTCTTTGTATCTTTTCTTGAAACTGAAAATGTTAAAGTAAGACTGCAACACTTTTGGTCTGTGGTACCCTGACCTGGGCATTATTCTAGACTTCTTCCATATCGTATTATGAGGAAACTGCAATGTGAGAAATAGAAAACTGCAAACTCCAAAAGATTAGTATACCTTCAGTATGTTATACTTGAAATGGCATCAGACTTAACCGCAAATGGCATCAGTATGTTATACTATTATGAGAAATAGGAAACCGCAAATTGTGAAAGTTCACCACAGTGTAAATCAGTTCATCATGTCTCTATGATGTAGTGTCAATAATGTTAATCTCAGACACTCCATCCTGTAGTGTCAATAATGTATGTATCTTACTTATATCGTAGTAGTTTTTTAACTCATACAGAGTACGACGTATTATTCTATTTAAGCTTAAATACCTGTGTTGGCTGTGTGTGCAAAGTTTTTTCAGAAATGGCTCAAAATTTTCCATTTGTTTTTAGCTTGCTTTTTTTAAATATTGTTTTATTACATTTTAAGCATTTTCAGGACTTTCTTGAGGCAGATGCAATATGAGAACGAAGTAATTGAACTTTGGAGAATATGCCATGCTATGTGGTTTTCAAACCTTTATCTTTGAACTTTGGAGAATATGCCATGCTCCAAAACTTCATGCTGCGAGAACTTGTTTTTTTTTTTTGCAATAATGGTGAACACTGTACTTGTAGCAGATTTGGTGATATGAAGAGGTTTCACCCATTTTACCTTTTAGTGTATTGATTGAAGCTACTTGAAGTTGCAATCAATATTATTAGTAGTAAATGAAACACTTGTTTATTTGAAAAATGACTTCAAAATGAATTGAATTAAGATTCTATTGTTGAAATAGCGAGCATTGTTTTGTTAAGGATGGAAATATGTTGTGATTTAACTATAACTATGTTCAAGTTTTACATCACAGAGACTTTATGTATACAATCGTAGTCACTTTAGTCACATTTTGTTCGTAAATTTTATTTTAGGAAAACAAACTGAAAAATTATTTTTGAAATTATTTATACACTTAATGAATCAAAATGTTAAAGAATGATAAGATCAGCGTTCAAGAAAAGTGTAATATATTACATACGTAAACAAAAGCATGAGCAATATAGTTGGTAACACGAACACAAATGCAATGTTAAACAAATTGCACCGCAATAGTAAAATTGGATGTTTTAAAATGAATTGCAAAAATATTACTCCTAATTAGGGCTGGACTCGGGCCAGGCGGCCCGAACCAGGCCCGACCAGGCCCGGCTACTATAGCAACCGGCCCGACCCGGTCTAGCGGGCCTCAGGCGGTCCGGGCCCACCCGGCCCGGGGATAGGGCGGTCCGGGCTCGGGCCTTCGTAATCTTGAACCGGCCCGGCCGGGCCGGGCCCGGTCCGGGCCTAACGGATCTTTAAAAAAAAAAATTGGGCTTTCAAACGGCTCTAATAGCCGTTGGGGTCTTTGGGGAGCCTCCAAACGGCTCTACAGCCGTTGGAGGGAGGTGGGGGTGGGGGGGAGAAAAAAAAACTTATTTATACTCCTATTTTCTATACATTTTTTACACCTTCTTCATACAATCCTACTCTCTAATTCTCTATTCTCTATTTATTACATTACTAATATTTATTATCTACTTAATATATATTTATTATCTTCTAATTATCTACTTTACATATATATATATATATATATATATATATATTATATAACTTATATTCCTTATCTACTTAATCTCTACTTATTATTATATCTACTTACATATTTATTATCTACTTATATATACATATATTACATTACTAATATTTATTATCTACTTAATATATATTTATTATCTTCTAATTATCTACTTTACATATATATATATATATTATATAACTTATATTCCTTATCTACTTAATCTCTACTTATTATTATATCTACTTATATATTTATTATCTACTTATATATACATATAGTACTTTACTAATATTTATTATCTACTTAATATATACTTATAGTAGTATTCAATATAAGTGTATTACTCATCTTATAGTAGTATACTTATATATTATATACTATAAACATTATATATAAAATATACTTATATATATATATATAACATTATATAGATATATTCGAATTACTATATATAGTAGTATTATATATTCGAATTTCAAAGTATATTATACTATATTCGAATTACTATATATATTATACTTATATATATTATACTTATATATATTATACTTTTTTTATTCGAAGTATATTCGTTTAATATTGTATTAACATTACTTGATTAGTTCATTGTATTAGTCATCTTATAGTAATACACTTATACATTATATATTATAAACATTATATTATGTATTAGTTATGCACTTATACAATTCTATTTCCTACAAGTAGTTAATAGAATATTGTTACATTTTAATTAAAGTATAAAAGTAGTTAATTGTTGCATTTTAAATAAAGTATAAAATTAGTTAATTGTTGCATTTTTCATTAAAGTGTACAACTAGTTAATTGTTACATTTTAAATAAAGTATAAAACTAGTTAATTGTTACATTTTAATTAAAGTATAAAACTAGTTAATTGTTGCATTTTTCATTAAAGTGTACAACTAGTTAATTGTTCCATTTTAAATAAAGTATAAAACTAGTTAATTGTTGCATTTTTCATTAAAGTGTACAACTAGTTAATTGTAACATTTTAATTAAAGTATACAACTAGTTAATTGTTACATTTTAATTAAAGTATAAAACTAGTTAATTGTTGCATTTTTCATTAAAGTGTACAACTAGTTAATTGTTACATTTTAATTAAAGTATAGCATTTTTATATTTGTTAAGATGGACCGTGGTAGACATTCTGTAGATATGGGAAATCTCCAACGCAACCGAAAGAAGGAGATTGCGAGAACTCATCCTAGTTTGCGCAAGAATACCGTGCAGTCCAGGTCTTCTTCTCAAAGTCGACAAGATTTTGAACCGGAATACCAACGGCGAGATGGCCATGCGATGTCCGACGAGCAACTACAACAACTATTGACTCAAAATGATGGGCGATTTTTCCATCAACGAGACATCCCGGACGAGATTCACACCATTGACGAAGAAGAGCTCGAGGATGACGATCCAGAGGAGGACGCGGGGGGCGCCGGGAGTCACGGCACCCCGGATGAGGAGCAAGAGGCGGAGGAGGAGGGTGGTTCATCCCAAACAGGTACGAAATCTAAATCTCCTATTATAGAAAATAATTTTAAAAAGTATAAAGACCCAAGCACCGAGAAATGTTACGCAAGTTGCAACCATTGTGATAAGGTGTATAGCTTGGGAACTTCGGGCGGATACGGGAGCCTCAAAAGGCATCTTATGGGCAAGCACAAGGTGGAGTAAGCAAAAATTGAGAAAGGCAATGGGAAGCAAACACAAATACCGAGGTTTGCAAATAACCAACCTTATGGTAATTTCTCGTAAAGTGATCAACAAAATTTGACGGGTATGACTAACTTTATGGTTGAAGAAAATTTACCTTATCTGTTTTCTGAAAGTGTTTCTTTTCAAGAGTATGCACAAACTTGTTTAAATCCTCAATTTCGAAGTTTTAGTCGAAAAACGGTTAAGAAAGTTGTCCATGAGGGACAGACAACTGTACAAATTGTTAATCGAAAAACGGTTAAGAAAGTTGTCATGGCAGACAACTCATCTCGAGACAGACAACTTGTCTGTGAGGGACAGACAACTGTACAAAATTTGTGTACAAATTGTGTGTACCCCAATCTTTTTTCTCCATGAATAACCAACACTCTGTATAATAATAATAATAATAGGAATAAATTGTACGTATTTATACCCAACACCTCTTTTAGTTTCTACACGCTACCTCAATCAATACCTTATTCCCATTTCCATCAATATTGTCTTAAAATCTAGCTAATCAATCATATTCTGTTATTTTTCTTATCTTTACTTCCTCCTTTCCAGCTTTCTCCACCCCCAAACAAAAGTAACACGTAAGTTGTACACCCTAGATGGCTAAATGCTAAATCAAGGGTATGAACATAAGAAAAAAGTCAGACTAAAAGTCAATAAGAACCTTCGTTCTATATTATCCAGGTTTCACCGCGTTTTTTCAATTCTTTCATGCGTGATTAACGTTTATACCCGCCTGACTTTTGAAACGATATGAAACGGAATACATTTATATTACGGAGTATAGGTAAAGGAACCACGTGCATTGATATTCTATGCATATCGTACTAATACCTTAATGAGAGTGACCGAATGAGTACAACTTTAAGTTTTAATTTTAATGCCTTAATGATAGTGTGTCAATTTTAATTGAATAAATGATTAAGTCGTACTTTCAATTAAGCCGTAAGTAAATATCACTTAACGGCTGATTGATGAAATCGCTGTTCTCATTAAGTATTTAAGTCAAAAATAAACGAATCCTAATCAATTGTAAGGATAGTCACCTATTCGTATAAGGTCTCTTATTTCAATTAACAATTTCTAGGAAAAATTAATAATTACTCCACATTTTATTACATTACAACGAACAAAAATAAAAGAGTGAACGAGTAATACGGAGCAAGTCTTTTGTTTCTTAAGTGTAATAAACATTTATGAGAAAATTGCTATTACTCCTTAAGATTATGTCATAATACAACCTTGTGTTTTCAAAAAGTTACCCTATGAGTTCTAATTATTATCACTATTTTCCCTCTCATGTTAATATTTCTTATACGTAGTTGTAAATTTCATATAACATCTCAAATTACATAAAAATGGCTACGATATCTATTTTAATTGGATTTAACAATATATTAACTTTAATAAAATTAGTGTTAGCACGGCGAGAACAATCTAAATTTAAGGGGTAAATAATTTACTTTTAAGAAATGCAAGGTTAGATTAAAGATTTTGACCGGACTCATACTCCGTAGTAAATATTCCAACATTCATCTAGTCAAAAAATCGATCGCATTTGTCCCTTAGAGCATCTCCAATGCTATAATGTTCACGGTACACATGTGGCATGAGTGGTAGGCACATAAATATTAGCAAATAAGTTATCTCTCTCCTTATTTGAATGATTTTATACAATTTTGGTAAGTTGTTCTCTGCAATGTCAACAACAATTTCAACATTTAGACGGTCTCCTTGACATTGTGGAGAAAACTTACCAAAACTGTATAAAATCACTCAAATAAATAGAGAAAAAATTAATTTACTAATATTTATGTGACTATCTCTCATGTCACGTGTGCACTATGCACGTTATACCATTGGAGATGCTCTTAGCTAGTTGGCTCGTATCGCTTTGTTCATGTGTGACGAAGAAATACTGCTTGGTCTTTGACAATTATGATACATACTCACTCCGGAGTACTATAAAAGCTACGGCTTCTCCGTTCTAGCTCTTCCCCAACACAGAAATGAACCGGGCTTTCGATTTTCTCAGCCCTGTGATGCTCCTGCTCCTGCTCCTCCTCTCATGGTCGGGAGTAGCCCTATCCCCCGTGAAATGCCCCAATTGCGGCAGCACTCCGGTGCCTCTCCCACTGAGCACCGGCGCCGACTGCGGCGATCAGCTCTACAAGATCCGTTGCAACAATAGTGAGCTCTTTTTCGATACGCTCAATAACACCTACAGGATCTCCTCCATCACACCCGAATCCCAACGAATAACGATTGAGCCCGCACCTTTCTTGCCCAACACATCGTCACCAGGAACCACCTGCGTGACGGAGGATATCTCAACAGGCGGAATCCAACTCAATTCCTCCCTTCCTTTCAATATTACTAGCAGCAACACCGTTTTGCTCCTCAATTGTACGGACCGCTTGTTCCAATCCCCGCTGGATTGTTCCAACAGCACCGGTCTCTGCCACACTTACATCAATGCAAGCCGTGACTCTGCTGGCGGGTGTGCAGGCGCCCCTATCTGCTGTAGTTTTAGAACCGGCGGGTCAACAACAGCGTACAGGATCCGGATTAGGGAAGAGGGTTGTAGTGGGTACCGGGTTTTTGTGAACTTGAATGAGCTTTTGCCCGTCCTGAATTGGCCCAAACCCGCCCTCGAATTGGAATGGAAGTTGCCGGCGGTTAAGTCAGGTGAATCTACGGATTGAGACCACCATATTCAATAATACATCTTCATTCAACGTTACAATCACATGAAACATCAATATTTAAATATTAATTAAAACTGAAACTAAAGAAAAAAATCGGTTTGTTCAATACATAATTAGAATATGTTAATATGATTCTAATAGATCAACGAAGATGCTTGTAGATGCCCAAAGTGACCAAAATTGATAGCCAGCTTCAAGTAATTCAATCCTGAAAAATTATTTAAAATTGAGTTAATCGACATTAAATAAAACAGTGGTAGTAAGATTATTGTAACTGATTGTCACAACGACATATTTGATTTAATGTGAATATTGTCACGGACTTGTTCTCTTAACAAGCTCATGTGCGGCCTTAGCTCCTTTTTGCCCCTCACGATAGCTAAGTCAGCATCAACCAACGCCTTAGAGTATCTCCAATGCTATAATGTCCACGGTGCACATGTGGCATGAGTGATAGCCACATAAATATTAGCAAATAAATTATGTCTCTCCTTATTTGAATGATTTTATACAATTTTGGTAAGTTTTTCCCTGCAATGTCAACAACAATGTCAACATCTAGACGATCTCCTTGACAGTGTGGAGAAAAACTTACCAAAACTGTATAAAATCATTCAAATAAGGAGAGAAAGAATTTATTTACTAATATTTATGTGGCTATTTTTCATGCCACGTGTGCACCGTGCACATTTTACCATTGGAGATGCTCTTAGTGTGGTGTGTGTGCTAAGTGCTTGGCTAGGAAAGGTAGTAAAGACAAGTGGTCCCTTAGAGAAAACTTAACCCTTTATTGAATGCTTGGAAACTTCGAATGTGTAGCTTGTGTACAAATGAACCACCTTGAGGGGTATTTATACTTGCCTCCTCCTCAATGGATGGTAAAGATCTATTTGATCTAACGGCTAAGATTTATCTCTAGAATATTCTATACATCTCTATGATATTCTAGAGTATTCTATACAAGTGTATATCTATCTACATGAGTCTAGAGTGTTCTCTTAACCTCTGGAATTCTGTCCCTTTCTCCTTGGTTATTCTAGACTCCAGCAGTGGGCTTGGTCACAAATTATGCCGCGGCACAATTATCTGTCATGCTGCGGCGTATCAGCCTTTTATGCCGCGGCGTAACTGCTGAATGTGGGAAACTCGTGACAATATACTTACATGCTGGTTTATGTGTTGTTCTAAATGCTTCTTTAGTGTACTAGTCCCATTCTTGGTCAACTCGAAAGCAATTGGAATACAGCAATACTTGCATGTAGATGTTTGAATGTGGCCAAGTTGTACCTCTACTCCATTTTTATTCTCTTTCATCAAAGGCTTACTTTATGTGTCATAGTGTGCCCATACACATGTTCTCTTTTTTCTCTCCATAACTCTAGGTGTCTTCCTCTTTTTTTACTTTACCTCCAGTGGCTCATTGGGTAGAATTGGCATCCATTTGATCTGCAACAAACTCATTAAATACTCCCTCCGTACCGTTGGAATGTTCCTGGTTTGACCTACACACATATTAAGAAAATAAACTTACCAGGGGGTAAATTTTACTGTTTGGACACTGTTTGACATTGTTTGACACTGTTTTGCACTGTTTGACACTGTTTTGATGTAGGATGACTTTCATTTAGAGAAATGAGAACTTTCCATTGGAACATCCAAAAAAGGAAAGTGGGAACATTCCAACGGGACGGAGGTAGTAATAATCATCACATTAGTAAATGAAAAGGATGAGATATACCTTGTTACCAAGTTCACCAAAGATTTGTAGAAGAAATGGAGGACATAGTTTACATTTCGAGAGTGTAATTACCTCCTTTCATTTTTCGAAGGAGATAATTAGTCTTGGGTGGCATAAGTGGCAGGCACTAGGCTCAATGACAAGAACTCAGTTTTCCGATGGATTGAACTTTTTTATGGAATCGGAAAGGTGAACAAGTAAGGACCTATAAATAGGTGGAAGTAAAAACGCAAATTTATAGACATTTCCAGTTGCAATGGCGACGCCGCGGCATCCACTCTCCCTGAGAAGATAGGCTGTCTCGGATTCTTCGCTGCTGGCGACGGTGATTATAGGGTCGTGAGAATTCTGCACGGCGGTTCTGTCGAGATATACTCACTAAACTCGGGGGAATGGGGGGTTCTGATGTTTGAACATGACTTGCTTACAAGAAGGGTACTTCAGAGTGGGCAGGCATTTGTGGAAGGTAGGCTTGGACAGGAAGATGACGGAGAGGAACTCGAAGTACCATGACTTCATTTAACGTTAATGAAGAGACGTTTGAAGAAGTGTTACTCCTTATACCTCACCACTCCAAATGGTCATCACCACTCCAAATGGTCTAAGAGTTGTTCTCATTAGAACCACTCCATATATATATACACACTTTTTTCATATGTAGTGCTCTTAGATATAAGAAAAGTGGACTAATAATTGAACGGAATATTTCCTCTCTCATATGTAGTGTTTTTAAGTATTAGATAAGTGGACTAATAATTGAGTGAATAAATTTTCTCTTCATACGTAGTGCTTTTAAGTAGAAAAATAAAAATAAGATAAGCGGAGTAAAAAGTGTGCGGGCGAATTTTACTCTCATATGTAGTGCTTTTAGATGTAAGATATAAGATAAAGAAACTAATAATTGATCAGAGGGATTCCCCTCTCATACTTTCTTTCTCATGACCTTTTAAATTTCTGAGAACACATTTTCCTACAATTATCACCTACGTTATGACAATAATAAATTTCAAGCTCTATCACTGGAAAAAGATGTAATATTCATGCCTAGACGTTATTGGTCATAAAAAGATTTATATATGTAATGTTATCGAGGTTTAGAAAAGAAAACCATTAGACATTATCACTAGAAGTTCTCTTTAAAGTACTTTTTAGTTACTATAGTAAATGATCCAAAAAAACCATTACACACTTATTTATTTTATAATTTAGAATTACAAAAGAAATTAAAATAGTAAATCCTCTCTTTAATCCTCTCTTTAATCCTCTCCTTAATAGCATTACAGTTCTGGAAAAGAAGTTCTCGCTCACCCCCAACTCTTCTGGTGATCCGTCCGATTTTAGTAAATTAAGGGCTCATTCGGTATAGTTTTGAGTTTTCTGTTTTTGGTTTTTAAAAAACAAAAAACTGTTTTTAGTTTTCTATTCTCAGTTTTTTGAAATCGTTTTGTTTTAGTGCTATTTCATTTTCAGTTTTGTCATTCCAAGAAACAAATAATTATTTTCGTGGCCCATGATAGTCCGATGATGGTCTCGGGAGTGGCCGGAAGCGGTCTGATGGTGGTCCGGTGGTGGCCAGTGGTGGTCCGGTGGTAGTCTGGTGGTGGTCCAGTGGTGTCCCGGTGGTGTCCCGGTAGTTGGGTATTGAAGATAAAAATGATAACAAATTTATAGAACTATGTTTTGTGGATTTCAGAATTATGTTTTCGTTTTCTAAAAACATTTACAAAGATTATGATTTTGGAAACAAAAACAACTTTTTACCAAACGTGTTTATGTTTTATGTCTAAGAAAAAAACAAAAACCGAAAACAGAAACGTTAACGAACACCCCCTAAACGTTAACCGAAAACAGAAACGTTAACGAACATGAACTCTTCTTCTCACCTTGAGAGTTGAGACACCATCCATCACCTCAAATCATTGTTCTGCAGATTGAAACGGATGGTGCTGCTCCCCCTGCCAATGTGCTAGGTCGAGCTCAAATTTCAATCTAACCAATATAAGATTCGTTCATCTTTGTCTAGAATCATCTTCGCCGAAAATCTGAAATCACCTTGGCCGAGAATCATCAAGAAGAGTTCATTGATATGAATAAAAGGGATTTCAGGAGCAGCGATTTGAGAAGTACAAGAATCAAAAGACAAATGATGTGGAAAGTAGCAGCCGTTGATTTAATATACTAAAATCGGACCGATAACCGGAACTCCGGAAGAGTTGGGGGTGAGCGGAACTTCTTTTCTAGAATTGTAGTGCTATTAAGGAGAGGATTTGGGATTTCACTTCTAGCTTTCAATTTGTTCTTCTAGGCCAAACTCCATCTGATTTCAGATGTCATTGCTAACTTTCAATCTGTTCTTGGCCGAAATCATTTCTGCCAAGTGCAAAACTATCTATAATTTTAGCTTCTGCTTCTTTTTTAAAGCAGAAGTAGAATCAGAATCAGTTTTCAGAAGTTGGTCTCCTCCAGTTTTTGAAAAAATTGATTTTACGAGTAAATTAGAGCACCAGAATCACGTTTGCACTTCCACCCAAACACTCCGACTTCTGATGAGCAGAAACAGTTTTAAGAATCAGATCCAAACACCCCATTAACGTCTTTCGATATCCGTTAATACTACTCCATTACTTAGCTTTTTGTTAGTGATTATACTCTAGATGTTTGTAAATATGCCACAATGACAATCATTGTGATATACTTCCTCCGTTCTTAAATAAGTGGAACAATCAACATTTCACACTTGTCGAGGCACAACTTTGACTATTAATATATATACTTTTCTATCAGTAAAAAATTTTAAAAAATAAGTTTTTGAAAATTTACAATGAGACAAATTTAATAATATATTTTTCAAAAATATATATTAATAATATACATCAATAAATAAAATGTAGTCAAAGTAGAACATGTGAATAGTGTAAAATTTCACATGTTGCACTTATTTAAGAACGAAGTTAGTATGTAAAAAGTATATTCTTTGATTTTCATGTATCTGTCGAAATAACCCCATCATAAATTCTTGCATATTAATGTTGAGTTTCTCTTTCATTCCTTTTGTTTTAAACTTGATTTTTATCTGATATTGGCGTTGTTTGCTATTCAGCGGGTGGGGTGGAATCGCTGCTTTTTAATACGGGAAAACGCTGGTAAATCCAGCGTTTTAGGTGGAATCCGCTGATAAACAAACACCCCCATTGTGTATCATGTGAGACTAACAATCATAAGAATAAAGAGATTAATAGTTTATAAGGTGGAAATTGAAATTCAACTCAAAAGGTATATCTGAACTCATATAAATGAACTATCTATATTTACTAATCAAGTCCTACTTAATTGTTTCTTTGGTTGATTAGTTACTAATAAAATAACTAAAAGTTTAGTCATATCTTAAATAGATTTGAACCACATAGATTGCTCGAAGCCTCAAACTTTCACTTTCACTTTCATTTCAATTTCAATTGGGGATTAAACAAATCAGATGCGTAGTGCTTTGGAGTACAATATTGAGCACCACCAAATCAGAATTCCTATGCCATTTTAACCAAGGAAAAGCTTTGCTATCGCGGGATCATGAAGTTGCTTAGAAATGTGTTTGCCGCACTTTGAGAAGAGCAACATACATGGACAGTCAGACCCAAAGGCGGAGTTTATGGAAGTACAACACGAACGCTGTTCATTGCCGCAACTCAGAGTGATCACATCATCTACCTGGAGTCATCTACCCAGAAATCTTCCCAAAAGGAGATGACTATTCTTTCCTTCAGATTCCTCAGTAAGTGTAAAAAACGCCTTTTAAAATCAGAAAATTACTTTTATTCAATACTTTAGACTTCTGAGCTTTTGCTTCTACATCACAGCAGAAGTAATATCAAATTTTGTAAACCAAACAACACAACATAATCTCATATATTCACATAAAACTTACAATCCCTTATAAACTGTACTCCTATCATCTAAGGTCTCACAGTCCCGGCCTGAAACAAAAGCTCCCTATACGTGACTTGGTGAGTTGTGTGATGCATTGGAGTAGAACAGTAATTCGACACTTACCGTTTTCAAGTGTGGTTGTTTCGTTTTGAAAATTTTAACACAGAGTTTGACTTTTGGGCCGACAAAGAGTCACTTATACAACCTTGGATTGTTAAGGTCGATATCATTCAGAACTCTATTGCTCTTCCTACAAACTATCCATTAGAGTTTTAATCTCTTATATCTAAATTAGGATTATAATCTTACACTTATTCTAAAGATTATAATTTTCATATCCATTAACTGATAGACTAATACTACCATCTATTTGATTCCTAATGTTTATGCATCTATCAGAATTACACTTTTTCGCTCTCTACTCTTCTGAAATTGGATTGTTCCAGCAATAACCTCAAAGAGATATATGTCCTCCAACACCAAGTAAGTTTACTGATCCGTATTTTTGTTGATTTTTTATGCTTACGACACACCAAAACGTAGAACAAGATTCGGTAGAAACGTTTTTTTGTTCAGATGTTATTTTATTCTCTTCAGATTCTGGTAAAAGGACCGGTTCTCAAATGAACCAGGCAATCTCAATGATTAAATAGAGAGAGAGAAAGATCAGGTGAGAAGTGCCCCTTAAAATGAGAAGTGAGAAGTAATTTTAGCCCTTAGATTTGCATCAGATCTTACAACGCAGTAAACTTATTGACTAAATATAGGAACTCATAACCAATAAATCATAACTTATAGGGAAAACTGTCAAATAGGTCCTCGAACTTTCATAAAAAGGTCAATTAAGTCCTTCTATAGGAGGTTCTGTCCAGAACGTCGCGATTTGGGGCAGTTCCCGGTGGAATTTTTTGGTAAAATTTTTTGAGCATCTTATTCACCAAGTCTAGTTTGTTCATACCAAATTTCAGCTAAAACTTCAATCGGGAACACATTCAAATTAATTCTTGAAGATAACTGCGCATTTTTGCGTTCTCGAATTAATTTGAATGCGCTCCCGATTAAATTTTTAGATGAAATTTGGTATAAGTAAACTAGACTTGATGAATAAGATGCTCAAAAAATTTCATCAAAAAATTCCACCGGGAACCGCCCCAAATCGCGATGACCGTACAGAGTCTCCTATAGAAGGACTTAATTGACTTTTTTATGAAAGTTCGAGGACCTATTTGACAGTTTTCCCTAACTTATAAAGTTCTCCATAATAATTACGAAAATGCCACCGCGTCAAAAAACTTCTCAGGTTTTTGTAATTATTTTTTGCGGTGGCATTTTCGTAATAATTTTCGAGAGGTCTATAAGTTATGATTTATTGGTTAAAAGTTCCTATATTTAATCTATAAGTTTAACTTCGCAGTTCTCAGCCTAAGAGCACTTCTCACCTGATCCGCTCCATATATATATATATATATATATATATATATTCTAATTTTGTTTGAGCAGGAATTTCAATCTTCTTTTACAATCTTTGATTTGATTTACTTTAACAGGGAATACATATTTCCTAATCTTTTATTATTATTTTGTCTTATTAGAAATATAACCATTAGTTAATAATGAAGTTAATTGCTACATTGTTCTTTATTAGACTCCCAGTAATTTTGATTTTAAGTTGTTTTCAATTTCTAAAAAAGTTGAAATGGATGAGATAGAAAGGCTTATTATAAGCCGGTATTTCTATACACATGAGAATACACAATAATACTTCTGCCTTGAGAAATTTAAAGCAATGATTTCAAGGGATATCATGTGCTTTTTTTACCTCTCTAGCCTCCTCTAATGTTTTGCTTTTGTTATAGATAAATGGATGAAGATCAAGGAGTTGAAGATAAATGGACCAGTAAATTTGATTTCTTCTTTTCAGTTGAACTAGGTATTGAAGGTCAAACCTCTAAAGAACATACAAATCATAAACGAACGAAAGTTTAAAGTCAAAGTTCTCTCATAATGCAGGTCCCATTTACTCTCATAAAATTCTCTATTTAAATACGTGGTAACTTCTGTTACTAATTTATTTTTGGAAAAATTGACACCAATAATCCCACCTTTCATTGGTCTTCTCATAATAATCCCACCTTTACGTAATCCCAGAATAATCCCACTTTTGCATCACATCTTCTTTCATTGGACCCTGACCAAGTTTTTTACTCTTTTTTTGAAAATCATATAAATAATCTCACATTTCACTTTCTTATTATATCTTTATAAATATGAGATTATTTATATAAGATTTTCAAATAAAGGTAAAAAACTTAGTCAAGGTCCAATGAAAGAAGATGAGGTGCAAAGGTGAGATTATTTTGGGATTATGTAAAGGTCGGATTGTTATGACTAGTGAAAGGTTGAATTATTCTTGTCAATTTTTCCTTTATTTTTTAGCGCGTTCTTCCAATTGCACTTCAAGTTTTATCCACTCTTGTGTTAGTTGTGTATATTGGCAAAATGACAAGCTTCATAAACGTCATTCTTCTATTAAAAATGGCTTTTCATTTGATTCAGTTTAGTAGAAAAGTATGTCAATCATAATTCATAACGAATCTTATTCATATGAACAAGGTATTGGAGGTCAAACTCTAAAGAATACACAAATCATAAACAAATGAAAGTTTAAAGTCAAAGTTCTCTCACAATGTAGGTGACAATTTACTCTCATAAAATTCTTTTTTTAATTAACTTCTATGAGTAAGTTAGGTATTTTTTAAATCGTTCTTCCAATTGCTCTAAGCTGAATGGGGGAATGGGTGATACTCCATATTTTTCTAATGGATTGAATCTAGAGACTCGCGGTTCATTGGGTTACATACTTACATGAACACAAGGTACAGGTACTTATGGCTAAAAGAATCCAAGGGAAATGGAAAATGTACCTTATTGTATAACTAATACTACGTACTAAATACTGTGATTTTTTAAAGCGAAGACAATTTATAATCATCGCCGCATAAACCCCATTGCCTGGTAAACATTTTGGAGGGTGACATTTGCAACGTTTGCTGCATTCATAGCGCCTTCTGCTAACACTTTATCCAAACAGTCACTATCAGACATTATTTCCTCATATCTAACCTGCAATTTGGTAAAACCCAAGTGATTGACATTACAATAATATAATACGGAGTACAACAGTTCACTCTCTTCATGAATTATTATTAAACAGATTACTACGTAGTTCTACAATCAGTTCACTCTCTTCATGAATTATTATTAAATACATATACAACACAATCAATGCTAAAGACTCAGATTAATCAATTCTTTCCACGATATAAAATTTCTAATTCTCACACTGATTCTTACAATCAGCATGGGAAGTACAATGTATCTAGAATTAAATGGTAAGTGGCACTGTACCTATTTGATTTGTATCATTTTGGTACCTCAACTCATCAATGTATGTCACAATGGTACCTTGTAATGCTTAATTTTACATTAATTGACACCATAGGTAATTTCAATCAAATTTGACTATTGTGTAACTGGGATACAATAATTGCCACATTAGATTCAATGCGATTAAAATTTGTAGAAATGTATCTTGTCATTTTATGATCTTTTTTCATAAACCAGCTTCCATTATACACATTACAAGACGCAAGAAATCACTTTGGTGCCGTGGAATGTAATATTTAAAGGAGTAAGTATTTATACCGCATTTTTTGTAAACGCCATTTATATATGGAGTACTAATAATGTACTATGTTTCCACCCCTCAAAACTTTCCAATATTTATCACGGTTTCTTTACCTAATTAAACCTCACAAGGGGTGGGGGATTTCACTGGGACCTTCTAAGGAATTCATACACAAGCACCTCTAAAATGCCTCATAAGCAAAATAAACATCAACCTGGATAGGATGTAGATGTGCAATTAAAGCATCTGTAAGCAAAGGCTTAAAAGCTCCCCAGCTCATATTTTGGCATTCCTCTGTAACTTCCTGGCAATAAAAAAGTACTACGAAATACATATTGACATATTGTAATATTGATCCAAGAATGTAAAGCCTATTGAGCAATTGTAACCTTTTTTTCAAAAGCAGTAAATTAAGAAGCTTGGACTTTGTCGTGTACATACGTAATTAGTCCTTTCTAAAAGCACATTTGTCGATTTCATGCCACGCCAATTTTAAAGTCTAGTTCCTCTCAAATTTCTTAATCTTCTCTGTTTGGTACTATGTTATATAAAGCTTTTCCAATCACCTGCTTTGTCTTGCCCGACACAAGCTGATAAATTGAAAGAAGATTGTTGCATTCTGGTCTATCAGAGTTGTCAAACTCCAAGCTGAAAAATGTAAGACAATAAAAAGGTACAAAAGGTTTAAAAATCCATTCGTTCATGTATTGTAAGAATTAGGTGGGGAGGATTCAGCAAATATTCGAATAAAAAAATGCTAAATTCCCTCTTACATATCAATATAAATCAAAAGGCTAATGAAAGTATGAAACAATAAATTAAGAGAGAACTGAAAACTAAATTTAGTGTAAACTAAATCTTTTATCTGGAGTTCGTTCAAGTATTTGATAGATATAAATCATATAATAAGGACAACTTACCCACTCAATGAGTCAGTCTTGCAACGTTTTATCTTATTTGCTATTGCCTACAAAAGAAAACGACAAATTGACAATTATATGAAAACAATACATGGCAAAACTCTTATCTTATAAACATACATGGCAATACTAAATGATCATCTGTTGCTGAGGAAACAAATACTCGTATGACATAAAAGTGGATTCTGCAGACCTAAACATAGTTCCTTTCTGTTTGAAGCAATTTTTCTAAAAGACAAATACCCTATATTAGAAGCTAACAAACATCTCTTATCTTTAAGTTTAATAAATACACCTTTAGTCCCTGTAAGTATATTACTTTTTGTTTTCAATCCGTGCAAAATATTTTTATGCTTTTCATCCTGGAAATATATACTATTTTCATCGTAGTCCCTGTCTAACTCTGTGCCAGTCAGCGTAAATCTATTCCGAACTTCTCACTTTAGTTTTTTAATAACTTTTTGGATATTAATAGTAGTGATAAAACTAAGTGAAATTTATCGCTCAAGTTTTTGTATGTCTCAATGGCGCTGAAAAAAAATTAAGCAGTTGTTGAATGAGCTAAAAAAAGACAAAAAACCTGTTAGTCACGTATGTTTTGATATCAAATAGGGTTGTTACTTGTTAGTGTTAGTAAGGGACTAAAAATATAACAACATAAATTACAAAACAATGTGGGGGTCTAAGATGAAAACACTATGGTTGCAGAGAGACTAAAAACATATTTAAAGCTTTTTATAGCATTTTTATAATGAATAGATTTAAAATTTGAAAAATGCCTATGTTCTATCATTCATGCACGTAAACAAATTAGTCTTAAATATTAAACTTCATTTGAGGTTGATAAAATAATCCATTGCAGTTACAGCTTGGGGGTTGTAGGGTCATAAATATTCATTTTATCATTTCTTGTAGAAAATTCAAAATAAAACATAAGTACTTCCAAGTTCCAATTTAAATATTTGCATATATTTATATGATCTATCACTTCTTACTTCTTACATACAAAAAAACACATTCTGATCTTGGTACTAAAAATAAAACTCATTCTGAAATCTTTAGAAAGAAGTTCTTGAAACATTCAACTAAAGGGGGCAGCCCCGTGCACATCGGCGTCCCCGCAAGACTAGAGTCTGGGGAAGGGTCCCACCACAATGGTGCAAGGGGCAAGGCTTAGCTTGTCATTTTGACAAGAGGCCGCTCCCAAGACTTGAACCAGTGACCTCTCAGTCACACGGCAACACTGTAACAGGTGCGCCAAGGCTCCCTTTCTTTTCAAACATTCAAATATGTAAAACAATTTCAGTCCAATTAAATGTGGTGTTCATAACAGTATAACAACCAAAGCAGTTCAGGATATTTATTCCGAGAACTTAACTTGAACATAGCTATAGAAAACCACAAAAGCGCCATTATAGAAAGTGTCAAAAACATTTCAAAATCTCCATTTGAAGCACAACTACATTTCATATTCTAAGTATTCTGGGTGCATGGCAAAGCAAGTCTGGTAGAACTAGTAGGATTAAAGGTATGTGTAAAAGAAGATTAATATGTGTTTATTGACCACAAATGGTCTTCAGTAGTGGGTGATGAGAGACTAATTGGTCAGGATTGTATTTAAAACCAATCACATTTTTCATAGCTTAGAACAACCATATAGAGACAGAGAGAGAAAAAACACCACATGCTAATTCATAAGATAATCATTGAACAGAAATTGTGGGTGTTGATCCTTGAAAATGAGAACCCAAACCACAAGACAATGACTGAGGGGCCAAAAGGGGGTTTTCTAACTGGGTTTTCTAACTAATTTTCTATTTTTTAGAAGATCGTGATGTTCAAACTTATGGAAACAGCATTTATTGAAAGCTTCACAAACAGAAGCTGATAATGAATATGTAACACTGAAACTTACATCTTTTGGATCAAGCAAGTTGATACGAGATTGGTCAGAAGGTGCAGACTTTGACATCTAAGAACAAAAAACCATTAGCAACATAAATAAAAGATGTCTCTAGAAAAGACTAAATATTTCAAGATATATGATACGCAAGGCTTTAGTATGAATATTGTTTGAGGGAGATGATAATAAATCCCAGGTGCGAAGAAAAATCAACTACCCCAGGAAAGAACAAGATGCGAAGGGGCTGTCCATATTTATATGTTATTATGAAAAAGTCAAGACTGTAAGAGAGAGAAAAGTTCATGTTGACTTAAAACCTTTGAGAGGCCATCAGTAAGGGACATTATTCGAGCTCCAGCAGGTGGAATGAGAGGTTCAGGTACCTGCATGGATGAAACGGATCCTGTAACTATTGTGCCAACTATGACCATGTTTAAGGACAACACAAATATATGAGAAATAATTCACCTTAAATATTGGACCACCTCGCCTGTCACATGAGGATATCATTAATTCGCAAATAAATTCAACTTATTCAAGGGTAAAGTAAAATTTAAAATTATAAAAAATGGCATGTTCCCCCACCCAAAAGAAAAATAGTCTTCTCTGGTCAAGGTACAAAAACCTACTGTACACTTTTAATTGTTGTCGAACTAATTTATCACATGCACCTTGTAAATGTTTTAGCAACTTACATGTAAATTTTGTTTCATTTGATGAAATAGGACTCCCTTTAGCTACAAGTGTTTTTTTTTTTTGGGGGGGGGGATATCAATGCCATGTAGGTTGACCAAGCCATTATCCCGTTTTAGCTTGGCTTAGTAATTACAGCAGTATTTTTGTGCAAGAGTGTGGAAGACATGTAAACTTACCCTCCCAACTTCTTCCATTTTTTACCTCCATATAAATAGTTAATTCGTTCTGCAAGCTCTCGTGTCAATTCAAGATGTTGCTTCTGATCCTCTCCAACAGGAACAAGATCAGGCTGCAGAAATGGTTTAAATTATTAAATATGAGAGTGTTGGAACTTAAGATATAATGACAACATAAGATTCAGTGATATCTTCTGCAACGCAACAAATGTTACAAAAGAAAAATCAATATACTCATGATGTCATACCAATGAAAGAATAGCTAAAATGATGGAATGGATGGGCTAAAATTTAGATTCATGCAAACAGATTACTACATGGATATTCCACTGTGTTGCAACTTGCAAGTAGAGAGAAATGACCTGGTATAGAAGAATATCAGAAGCCATCAGTACAGGATAGGTTAGAAGGGCAACCCCAACATTTTCATCTCCCTGGGTACAAAAGGGAAAAAAAATCTCATGGGAACTATCAAGAAGAACAACCAAATGAAGGATGATGAAATTGTAATATCAATTATTTTTAGTGCACAGAAAGTTGCAGCAAACTCAGCATTACTAAAAAATCAGGTTTGGGGCGCTACACTGAGTTCAGTACCACTAGCTACAAGCCCACAAGTACATAAATCTTCAAATTCAGCAGAAGCGGTATAGACTACAAGCCATGTAAATATCTACATAATATATACTATTCTCTAGAGGTGCAAACTTAGATACTTCTTTTAACAACTGTGTTGAGCAAATCCTAAAAGCACAATCAGTGTTTTGGATAAGTCTGTCAAGAGTGTCGCATAGATTCCTCTGGGTGTTTTATTGCAGATGAAAGAATATATTCAAAACTTAAAAGTTAAACTTCCTTTTTAAAATTTGCAAATTCATCATCACTATATACTATAGTCAGGGCCGGTCCTGTATACTTTTGGGCCTATAGTCTATAGCCATGCCATTACAAGATTGATAATGTAAAATAAACGGGCAAATAACAAAACATGACCAATCATTACATAAATAATGCCTGATCAAGTTATCATATATATAGGTTTATCAATATCTTAAAAGTTTAACACAAATATGCAAATGGAATGCTTCAAGGTCTTCTTGGCATCTTTGTCTCATACAGGGTCATTTGCCAAAAATGGAACCTGAGGATCCTCTATTGAAACTAAACTTTCTGTAACTATTAATATACTCCCTCCGTATTTTTTGTTTGCTACACTTTCCTTTTCTGGATGTATTTAAAAATTTGCTACACTTTCCCTTTTTGGTAAATTTTTCCTTTAAAAATACTCAACTACCCTTACTTTTTCTACATTTTATCTCCCCCTTCATACTTTTCCGCCACCTCTCCTACTTTTTCTACACTATTCATTACCCCTACTATTTCACTCTTAAAAAATGTGCCAACACCTATTGTAGCAAACAAAAAAATACGGAGGGAGTAACTAACTATTATATTAATACATTGATTAATGATATCTTATGGAATTTAAAAAGTTGACCAAAAGGAATGCTCCCATTGCATCTTCCAGCATCAGTAATTCATCAAAATAGAGCCTCAGGCTCCACTACAAAAGGGGAGCCTTACTCACATTTTTCCTCTTTCTACAGACTGAATATACTTCAATTTATTTTTATTTTACAAAAACCTCATTTTGTCTTTTGAGTTGTGCATGATACATCGTTGGACTTTTAATCCTTTTAGTCCTTTGAGTTGTGCACCTTTGATCTATTCCCATCAATCATTAGCAAATCTAGAGAGACCAATTTGAGTATGGTTTTACGCATATTCAAAAGGAACACAGTGTTCCCTCTAATTTAAAACAATAATGAGACTGGTTTAGATTTAATAGTAAACCATTTAGCCCTTGGTTTTAGCACACTGTTCAATATTAGATTATGAGATTTTGAACTAAAAGGGAAGAAACTGTTTGGCATGTAGAAGGGCAGGAGTAATTGGAATCAGATAACTAAGACAGAAAAACGTTGAGATGATCAATAATACATAAGAAAGAGATTACAGAAGCATATTCCAATTTACAAGTTTACAACATACCGCCTTCCGTGATTTCTCTTTAAATTGAATCATTTTATTGAGCCAACCAATGGGAGTGGCAGCACTCAGTAGCCACATCAATTCTACATGAGCAGCAACATGCGACTGTACAAAAACTGTAGCCTGCACACACAATGACATAAACCAGAGATTTGAAAATTGTGGCAGCTGACTCATAAGATGATATGGGCATCCAGAATCCAAATCCTTAGATAACTGAAGATCCAACCTTCGTAGGGTCCACACCGCAAGCTAAATAAAGAGCTGCTGTGTCCTTAGTTGCTTTAAGTAAATGCGGTGCATCATATGGCAAAGTTATCTGCAAAAATCATCAATAAATCCAAAACGCAAGCATACATACCTGGGCTTACTCCCAGAAAAAACTAAATACTAGAGCTTGTATGATAATTATCATCATCATTATTATTAAATTATTATTGACATCATCCTCATCGGTATTATTGAAAAGAAGAGATTCTTTTACACAAATATTAGAAAGGTGGATAAATTCTACTCATGGAAAGTTCCTGACAACTACCTAAGTAAAAAACTAATTACCAAAACAAACAAATAAATGATAATAGCCTTTCAGATTTAAGTTAAAAGGTCTACATATACCATCATGTAAATTTTAGCATCGTGATCTTTTACAAGGGCTTTACATTGACCAACAACACTTTTAACTATTGTAACAAAGATCTTGACGAGATCATATTGGGCTTGTGAATCTTTTTCTAACAACCCAAAATCAGTAGTAAACACCAACTTCAGCGTGACCATAACCAGCTAGACAGCTATTATGATAACTGATGTGGCATTAACCCAATAAAAACTATTTAAAGCATAAACATAAAGGTGATATTGACAATGTTAAGGAATTTCATTTTTTCATATAATATCTCCCTATCGCAATTGTGAAACGATGAAAGAAATGTCGTTCCAGGTTCCAACTTCCAACAAGAAATGAAAACTATGCAGTAAGTCAGTAACAACATTTGATAATTAAGAGCATTGCTTAAGTAAGCATACCGCATGAAGGTCTACAATGAAGAAGAAAGTGTCATGCTTATCCTGCAAAGAGTAAATTTGAGATGGGAGTGACTTAGAGAGTATCAATAAAGTGCAGTACGCCAAATTTATATTAAAAAATGAGTCAAATAAGTCCTCTTCCCTCCAACTATCCCCTATTTAGCTATGATGCACCACTGATTTCTAGACCTTACAGCTAGGCATTCAAACTCAAAAAAAGATGCAATTCAGCCCTTTTTACCGGTTGCCAACAGGTTGCCAATGCTATACTTATGAAATGGAATATTATTGCTGGTGTGGAATAAGCTCCTTGATCCTACATATCCAAGACCGCCCCCACCTTCATAATCGGGAGAAGATGATGATGATGATATACTAGTAGGAAAAGTTCGTGAAAAAAAGTTGTCATCCACTGCGAGGATTTTCAGACTCCCCTACCTCACCCCGGTTTTATGTTGAGAATACTTTTGTCTACATACAACTCTGTAATCATTTGACACTTCGAGTGGAAGAATGCATTTCACTTTGATTACATTATATTCTGTAATTCAATATTGGTGAACGTGGGAGAAAATTTGGGATTGTGGAGGATGAAAGCAGACTTAAGAGTGGGAATTTTATCAAGTAGAGCTTGTTGGCAAAGGTGTGATAATGTGGTAGTGATGTGGCCACTGACCTGAAGGTTATATGCTATTATACCTAATCGGGATCCAATTGCTATTGTTAATCGGTTGGGATACTTAGTTGTAAGGTCATTATGTTAGGGGATCCAACTGCTGGCTCGTGAATAGTTGGAGTGCTTATTTGACCCTTTTCCCTTCTAAAACCCCCCACAAAAAGCAGTCATACTTCCAAAAAAATGGGGTCGGCTAATCATATTGAAAAAAGGTTACAAAAAACATTCCCATAGTCCAAAAAATCCAAATATAATGAAATGACAACTCTATCTGCATAAACTATCCTCTAAAATCTTGCAGTAGATGCAGAAAATTGTATATGCAGGCATTTTCATATCCATTATGCCATATGTTTATGTTCACCTCATTCTGATAAAAAATGTTTGCTATCGATGTTATTAGTTAATAATAGTGATTTGAAGCATCGGGTCCTCATAAGCCAAACAACGCACCACACTCTTAAATTGGACACTAAGTCACAGTTGATCACAAAGACATCTCTTAGTGGGAGCTTCAGAAAGCTTGCTACCCTTATCAGGAGGGGAGAGTTCCAAGTGAAGAATATTTTTACCATTAACCGAACATTTGAAGGTAGATATGGTGAAGATTCACAACCAACAACAACAACTACTGCTAATCAATCCACTATTATTACAAAACTAAAATCCTTATAGTAGGCATGAACATGAATTCAATTAAATGGATTGCATTAGACACGTTAGTAAAAAACCTGCAACTGGATCCAATTTTTTATGGCACCGAGATAATTCCCAAGGTGTATAGACCCTGTTGGCTGTACACCAGAGACTATTCTCTTCCTGTTACATTCAGCAAAACAAAACTACATTTAGTAAATACTTTGGATTTTCAGTGATTGCACAAAAGAGTGAAATTGTGATTCAGTTCAATTGCATTAATTGAAATGTAATGTAATTTGTTTAAATGTATTAATGAAGTCCCAGCTCAATGAGAAAATGAGCATATATAATTAAGTCATTAACCAAAATTCTATATGCATGCATTCATAATATGTTGCAGTTCTATTAACTTCCTCAGTCACACTCACAGCCAGAAAAAAAAAACATATTGATTAGAATTGAATGGGGTTAACCGGTCAAGTTCATACTTTTCTCGAAAATGGATTAAAAATGGGCATTCAGAAAATGATAAATCAAATCAACTGAAGACAGTTGAACTTAACTGTATAAATACATTTTTTATATTCTGCTTATTTAGTTATCATGTCAAATCCACAGTCAATACATAGTTTCAACATATTTCATATACTCTCTAGCCTATTTAGTATCAAGTAAGCCACACTCATTACATAGTTTCAACAATCTTTCATATAATCTCTTTCAAGTCACGGCTACTGCCAATAATTGCTAATTACTCTGTAGACTTTAACAATTCAGGTTTAAGTATGCAGTTATGGACAAGACACGGATTTGTGGCATTACCCCCTGGCAAGAAGGCATCATAGTTGATGAATGATAAGGGCTTAAGGCTAAATTTATATGAAATATTTCTCATTAACCTTCAATCCTTCATATATTTGCAGTAGAATTCAAAATGTCATTACTTTACAGAGCTCGGAAGATTCTCGGAAACAGAAGACTCAGATATAGGGGTGCTGCAAAGGCACCGGAAACTTTGACTATGGATCTGAGGAATCAATCCTGGTCTTCTTAACCTGTTCCAGGAAAACACATATATAAATAAATGAAAACCAAATGTATAAGGAGAGTATGCTGCATACAATACAAGCACATATACAGAAAATGGATGACATATAGAAATAAATTTTCCATCTGTCCCAAAATGGTCCCCAATGGCCTTCCCCATTCAGTTTTTTTCATTTCCATTTTAAGGAAAGAATTGGCGGGTTGTGTACATTGATTCTTCCCTTCTAAAAAATAAATATGTTAACTACCCGGAGTTTTGTTGGCAACTTGGCATTAATGAAGACAATAGGTTGTTGAGGACATGATGGCAGAGCTTGGAGGAAAATAAACATGGAACAAGGGTTGGAAAGTTATGGTGTTTCCTTCTCCTTAAAAAACCTTTCTATGTTTCTATTAATTCATTCTTTGATGATTATTTAACAGAGCAGAGCTCTGTTTTATAATAGGGATTACGTGCATAGAAGTACCTAAACTATGAATGGAAGATATCCTAGCAAAGTACTTCCTAAATAGATAAGCTGCCTAATATATTAAAATCAAATTAAAATTAAGGCAACCAACTACATTGGAGAAAATCAATCACTCATATCATTCTCCTAAATTTTTTGGTTGATTGTTTTTATTTCTTACCATGATCTTTTAAGGTAGCACGCATCAAAATCTACAGCATACAATTTTATTGTGTAAAGATAGTGTACAAAGAAAATATGAAGAATTGTTGGAGAGAAGGTGACTAAAGGAGTGTTTGCAAGAGCTTTCAAATAGTGCTTTACAGCTTGTTTTTGCTTAAAAAAACTGAAATTGTTGTTTCTAATTGACAGTTTATGCTTAAATAATGACTTTAAAGCTAAAAGCTTGAAGCAAGTGGAAGGTGCTCTTAACTGTTTTTTCACTTTTACTATTATACAAAAAAGTTTTTTTTTTTACCAAACACTACTAACTTTTACTTTTTCAAAAACATTTTTTTCAAGCGCTACCCACTGATGCTATTAAGTACTTTCTCTAAACTCACTTTAAAAAATCACTTTTTAAAAGTAGAAGCAATCACAAACGCTCCTTAACTAAAGAGTTAGAGACAATGTACACTGAAGAAGAGAAGCGGGGAGCAGTGCTGTTGAGGATAAAGAGTTGTGAGAGAAGAGAGCGCCCCATCAGTGCCTGTGAGCTACTGAGCTTGACAACGTTGAGGGGCAAAATCAGTGTTATCAGTAGCAGATGGTGATTTCTAGCGGCAAGACAAAAGTCCCCTACAATTATATGGCCAATGACATTGCTGCGTATAGTGGAAGCATGGATGGCTGCAGATAAGTTTCACAATCACAGCCAAAACAAATAATAACCAAGACAGCAAAACATACTTAATCAACTGCGGAGTGCTAAATAAAAACGAAATCTCTATCTTTAAACATGCTAGGAACTTCAAAAAGATACTAGTAAATAAGGAAAAAAGGAATTTGAAATCTACCTTTAAATAAATCAACATAAACTAGGGTCAGTGAGTGCTCAAACCAATGGCGGAATACTGAAATGCTACTTAAAAGTCCCTTCTTGAGCCCACCAGCGGCCTTATCTATTTAATACGGAGTATATAAAAGCAAAAGATTTTTTGTGAATAGGGTTCTCTCTCAAAAACTTCAAAAACATGAAGTCGGACACCAGATACGACGGTGACCTTCTGCCCGCGAAATACCTTAGACGAAGACCGGAACTCGAAAGCTGGCAGCTACCTCAGCAGACGGGCGCACCTCCAGCTCATGCTCTGTGAAGTTCTCCCGGTCTGTTTTTTTTTTTTAAATTTATAGCGGTTTGATAGCACGAAAATCGGCTGATTTGGCCGATTCTTCTAAAATTTATTAAGTTTTGGCTGAAGTAGCTGCATTGGCGGATTATGCTGATTCAAAGAGAAAAAAATTAAAATATATTTTATTAATAAAAAAATGTAAAAATAGCTAAAATGACTATCTACAGTAACTTCAGCCAATACAGCCAGAAAAGTAACTTCAACCTTACTTTTTCTACTTATTACACAATTCAGCGCGCGAAAGCAAAAGTTAAATGTTTAGTGAAAAAGTTGGGTGATAAGCCTGATAAGCCGAAAAAGAGTGGTACCAAACGACCTCTTAATCTTCCAGATCTGAAATTTTAAGATTTTTTGCTACGATAAAAAAAATCCTAATTTCCTTGTTCATCTTTTGAAATGGTAAACTTCTCTCCAAATTCCTACCAAAAATATGAGATATAGCTCTCAATGAAAGCATCAATGATGGTAGAAAATAATTCGGATAGAGAAACTAGCAGCATTTCACTAACCCGGTGTCCCGGTTACAAGAGGATTGCCTCTATATGGCTAGGGGTGCAAATGAGCCGAGCCGAGCCGCTCGTGAGCCGCTCGGTCAAAGCTCGGATCGAGATCGGTCAAACTCGAGCTCGAGCCGAGCTCGAGCCGACTCGTTAAACAGTCGAGCCATAAACGAGCCTATTGATTTTAGGCTCGCTAGCTCGCGAGCCGACTCGTTAAGCAGTCGAGCCATAAACGAGCCTATTGATTTTAGGCTCGCTAGCTCGCGAGCCGGCTCGCGAACCTAGTTATATGTGTGTATATTTAATTAATATATATAATATATTAATATACAATACAAATTAATATATAATACGGAGTATATATTAGTATATGTAATATATGGGTAAGGTTCAAGTGAGAAGAACCCTTTAGGTGAGAAGTGAGAATGAATCTCAGCCGTTGGATTCGACTCTTTTGCAGTAAAAACATTTTATATTGCACTAAAATATGCAACCCACTTTGGTGGCATTTTCAGAAAAATCCGTATTACAGCCATCTAGTGCAACATGAAGCTGTTTTGGCGCAACGTCGTCAAATTTAAGTGCAATATGAAACATTTTTAGTGCAACACTGCAAAAAATTAAATCTTACTACAACATCAAGCTATTTTCAGTGCAAAATCGGAAATCCAATGGCTGAGATTCATTCTCATTTCTCACATTAGATGCATTTCTCACTTGAACCAAAATCTGTAATATATAATATAAATTAGTTTCTTTTATAAATTAATATATATATATATATATATATAATACTGATTCATAAATGTATATGAGGACCGGGGAGTCATTATTAATTATAAAGTAATTTAACAAAAATAATCAAAGTTTCATCCACTATTTCTTAATGGGTTGACCACTTTTGATTTATATTAGAAGTACAATTGGGTGGAGACTTGAAGTTAGAATTGTATTTTGTTTATTTTCCCGTAAGGTTTAGTTATTGGGCATGTAAATTGCAATTTGCAAATGTTGAGCACAAATATTTAAAATTTTAAAGATTGCTTCATAATTGAGCTCGAGTTCGAACACGAACTTTCAAACTAATCGAACTTGTAACTTTTGAACGAACCAAAATTATCTAGCCGAACCGAGCCGAGTCGAGCCGAATCAATATTTGCGAGCCGAGCTCGAGCCCGGATTTTTTAAACTCGTTCGAGCCGAGCTCAAGCTCGAGCCAATACAATATAATTCGAGCTCGAGCTCGAGCCTACATAAACTCGGGCTCGACTTGGCTCGTTTGCACCCCTATATATGGCGTTTGCGGCAAGTCCAATAATAAAAGGCTACATGGGCTTGACTCAATCTATGAACAGATACTAACGCTAACGCGCCAGCCGGCCCAACTAATAAGCAAATAATCTCAGACTGATTTCTGCTAGTCGGGATGTGTTCTGAGATTGGTCGGGTCAAAGCTCGGGTGTAATAGGGCAATAGTCTTGAACTCGGTCCATAATCCCAACAAAAATAAACTCAACCTAAACCAATACATGAAAAAAAGAATAAAACAACTAAAATGTTCAATAACTTTTTAAAATATTTAAAAATATATGTAATAACAAATCCAATCCGAATTGAATCAAACCAAAACAAACATAGAATGACCTTGTTTGGTAATCAGTTATTAGTTGTTAGGTGCTTACTAGATTTGTATTAGCTATTTTGACTTTTTATTAATTGTTTGTATCCGTTTAGTAAACTTGGTTGTTCAAGAAACGTATTAATAAACTGCAAAAAATACGGGGTGTTACTTGGATTAACTTGGCTAGTACCAAGATACTAACCGGGGTGCTAATATGAGATTATGCTAGGATGGATCTTAAGGTTGGATTGTCAGTACCTTGAGTATTCTTAAGAGATACATTAATTAAGGTGACTTAATTGATAAGGTAGAAATGTATAAACTCTAAGTGATCCTAGATATAGGATTGGCCTACAAGTGTTTCCGCTAATCCTTGAGGTTAGCCGGGGTGAATGATGGTAAGAAGTAAGGACCATGGCCCGACCCAACTTTAGAGAGCGTGTTCGACAACCGGAGATCCTACGAGACTCCCGACTTTGGTAACATTTAAGATGGGACCCAAAATGGACCTTACCTTCCTACCGGAAGAAGGGTGTGAGCCTAGGGGTGGGATGTTAGACACCAGCCCGAGGACCTCACAATGCCTCCGACAATGGTGTATAAAACCGTAACCGCCCCATTACCCGTCAATTTCTTACCCGACATAACCAAATTCACAACAAAGACGCTCATATTGAGCTCCGCAATGCTTTAATTGATCATTTGTGGGAATAATTCTCAAATTCCGATAACTAAACTAAGAATATTTATTTAATCTATTGTTTTAAGTTTAAGCAGTACTTTATTAATGACGTACAAATTGTTATAATATTACTGTAATATTTAATTTTATGTGGTTTTAGCTTGTATTTGTGAAATATTGATTATTGTATTTTAATTAGTGAAATGCGTGAAAATACATATTAAAATGGTGTATTTTAGTTTGTATGTGTGAAATAATGTGTGAAATGCCAAAATATTAAATGAGGGGCTAATGTATAAATATATGATAATTAGATACTTAAATAGAAGAATGGTAAAAAGTTAGTAAAAAGAATAAAAAGAGAATATTCCTTTTTGGTGATGAAAATGGTGTAAACTGTTGGAGATAAAGTACTGTTTGATGTGATGTTTACACCATTTTAATGTGAAAAATGGTGTAAACTGTTGGAGATGGTCTAATAATCACCTAGTCAAAATGACAATTGTTTAATTATAATTCTAATATCATAAAGTCCTAGATAGAGCACATTGGTCTTAAATTGAAATTATCCAAGAAAACGTTGTAGCATAATAATAGTAAAATGAACTTCGGCCGGGTCGGGTACTATCGGGTTTGAGATTTTAATTCCGCAACCCTACCCATTAGGTGCGGGTTCAAACATATTTAACCCATGAATATTTTTAAAAATCAAACACCCAATTAAACAGGGTCGGGTAGGGTTGGGTCGGGCGGGTTATGCGGGTTCGGGTTATTCTTGTGCAGCCCTACTAGCTGATGCCATTTTTTGCCTTTTAAAATATTTTTTTATATTAAAATATCAATGACCCATTTAATAAAGCGATTACCCGTGGTTACCCGCAGTTATACCCGTTACCCGTTGGGGCGGTTATGGTTTGGGTTAAAAATACCCGTCGGGTAATGGGGCGGTTTTGGGGCATAGGAATTATCAAAAGGGGCGGGTACGGTTATATGTAAAACCGTCCCCTACCCGCCCCGTTGCCATCCCTACAACTCACAAGTCCCGTATGATTGATAAGACCTACGGGTTGTATCGTATGCACGATAAATGAAATGGAATACTAAAGGGATCCACGTGTCGACAAATTTACTTATTATATGAATAAAAGGGATAAAGAATATTTATCACCTATATTATGATATCGCCCTATTTAGGGGTCTTGGGGATTGAAACATAGATTATATATTGTACAATTGTCATTGTATTTCTCAAATGCTTCAAAGTATTGACTTCCCCTTTCTAGGAAGGCCGCCTCACAGTTTCGGGTAGAAGTTAGAGCTTATTACCAATAATTGTTGCTTTGGGAGGATCTTGGAGAGAAGACTTCGTCAATGCTTCCTTCGTTTCAGATTTTAGAACAATTATAATAATGTTCATGAATAGTATTTTCTTATAAACTATTTAGGGGCTTGCATGATCTAGTTTGCCCGGCGTGGCTTGAACTCTTATTGTATTATTTTCGCTGCTTGACCTTATGTTTACACTGTGTTTGTTTATGGATGTACTATGTGTGAATAATATTCATGATGCCTAGTATAATACGAGTATGCTTGACCTTGGTTGTCTTATTCAGACTGTACAGTGATTGTGATGTGCCCCGGTAGGTCCATGGCGTGACACACACACATCTCCACCATTAATAATAAGATCCTTATCTTTCTTGCTTCAAACTTTTGAGCCCGGTATAACTTTAAATGATAGTTAATTGGTCTCCTTTGCACCATGAATAAAGACTGTAGTAATTTTAGTATGCAGGATTCTTCATCACAATTTCTTTCTAACGACAAAATGATAAATTTGTAATAGTAATTGACTAATGGTGTTAATTAGCAGTTAGCACAACTTAAAATATCTTCTTATTTGTAAAATTTGGTTCTTAAGCGGTTGTTTTCAAACTGTTGAACGATATCTCCAAACATAGAGAGTATGGAGTATCTTTGTAAATGAAATTCTATTTGTCACTAACTTATTACTATGGTAGGTCGGTAGCTATAAGAAATAAGAATATGATACCTATTATACATTTTGTAGGATAATACCTATTATACATTTGATTGGTCTAAACATAATTTCTTCATTTATTCATGT